GGTTTCCAGCCTCGGCCACGGCTACACGAATTAAACCGGCTGCGGCTGGTTTCAAACCTGCTGCTATTGTTGCTGCTGTTCCTTCTATTCGTCCGACTTCTACACAAGAACCCGTCAACGAGCTTAGGTACCTCATATTTATACCTGCTAATCTATCAAAATTCTCGAACCAATGAGGTTCCGTTTACATACGGTCTATCACGCTGCTCACTCCATCCTACTTATTCTTTATTCCACACTAACTCTATCTACTACAAAGTCCTTTATCCATCTCTTTGTTAGCCTTTTTTACCTCTGCGTTATGTTCCTTAAACCTTGTTTCCAAAGTACTTTTCGTCTGACCAATGTACATTTTATTGCAATCTGGACAAGATATTTTGTAGACTCCGGCTTTTTCTGAGACATTTCTAGATAGAGCTGGAATTAGGGCGTAACAGCCTTTGTAAACAATGACTTCTATCGATGATTACTAGGAACTCAAGGCACGCCCACGCAAACCAACATAACCGTCGGGTAGGAGAACTCTTCCCCTACCCGATGGTGTTGTCTACTTGCGTTGGCAAGCCTTAACTTTCCAGAAATCATCAAAAGAAGTCATTGTTTACAAAAGCTGTTACCACAGACAAACAGACGTAACTCTTCATTGTGTATCTTCGTTCACGCATTTAACGGTTGATTTGAATATTATCAGTTCCACGAACTACTCGCCGCAGCGCTGGCATCGGATCACTTTGACGTTTCTATACATTCTATAGAACTTTTATGCAATATTGTTTGCGAGTTAGCGAGCAAGCTTGTTTTCCGCGAGAAGCCTGAAAGATGTCGCTACTGAGGTCCTATGTTTTGAGATACTATGTTTTCAAGAAAAACTTTTTCAAAGAGTTACGTCTGTTTGTCTGTGCTGTTACGCTCTAATTCCAACTCGATCTAGATTTATTTAATTTTGTTGTTGATCCTAACAGTGACTTCAGCTGATTTGTCCTGCTGCTGAATACTAAATCTAGGCAAAAACTTCGAAATCAATGGTTTGGTAATGTTTTTATCGAAATTCACCGCTACCCGTTTAAACCCTCAGTTACTGGTGTAAGAGTTGTTGAAGTACGCCTAAAATGATCCCTTGTTTTTTTTTATCGATTTCAAAAATGTGAGCTAGGGTTACGGTATGTAATGTGGGTCTAGTCCTTTCATTCGGCCTATCACGCAAATAAATAATTAATTAAGGAATATTACACAAAAAATAAGGAAAATATTGATCACTGATGGTTGATAAATGTGTACCACACACAAATCAATTTATATCACAACATTTCAATACATTTTCAGCTCTCGTAAGTAATAAAACTGGTTGAGAATATCACTCTGTTCGGAGTTTTTAGCCGCCATGACTTCTAAGGTTAAGATGGGAAGGTTGCACTGACGATCATCAAATGGCCTGATTATGGCATTTATTGAATGGAATTACCTGATAATACACACTAGACGTAAAACTCACAGTTACTGTTTGAATATTTTATGTTTATTTTAATTGTTTAACAACGTTTTCACAAGTAAATCATGGACCCAACTTTAGGGACACATTTCTTTTCTATGTTCCTAACTTTGGCCCATGAAATTCATTTGACAGCATATAGCAATAAGAGTAACGTCAACAATGTGGTTTGCATTTGGATGATAAGGAACGAACAGGAAGGGAGATTTTTTCTGCCAAATCTGTATAATGAACATCACAATGTTTTGATTTAGATATTCTGCGGTCGAAAGACGATAAGCGAAATTTTTAATTTTTAATTTTTAACTTGAGTGATTTAATGTAGTTTTCGTAAAATTTTCTCTAAGAAATGTTTTGAGGAATGAAGAGTATTAAGTTAACAGTGATAGTGATAAAAAAAAATACATAAGAAAACGTTACCAAGAGCGTTTTTTTTGAGAATCAAACAGGATAGGACGAAGTTGCATCCATAAATAGACCCAATTTGGGGACAATAGACCGATATTACATACATTTCCCTGGTGAGTTTTTGTCTTAAAAAAGTAAGTTTTTCAACTTTTTGCGGTTCCTGATAGCAAACGACATGATAAGCATATCTAAGCATACCATTTAGCAGTAGAATATCGTTTGCAGGTAAATTAATTGATGAGTTATGATTAAAAACGTAATCTATGGCTGCATATTAGACCGAGGTTAGGGACGTATACCCTATTTCCTTTGATTTGCCTGTATCGCTAAGAGGAAGAGTTTGCATCCTGTGAACCATGTGGTGAAAAGCGGCCATTTTGTGTTGATGGGAATGGTTGGAAGTTCTTGGTATTACTTTGTATTTGTTGGTTTCCTATAGATTTCGAAATTGAACGAAGACGTTTCCCTGATGATGAGAAGATCTAAGAAGGGGAGTTTTCCGTCTCTCTCTTCTTCGTGAGTAAATTTGATATCCTTGTGTACGTTGCTTATGGCCTCCAAAGTTTTTGATAAATATTCCCTTTTGCAATGCTAAAAATGTCATCCACGTACCTATACCAACACTTGGGCAACAAATTCCTATCCTCCAGAGTATTTTCTAGGTTAGCCATGAACAATTTACATAAAAATGGAGTGATCACTGTGAGTGATTGCAGTTGCCTTGAGCTTAATAATGATTAACAGAAAATTAACTTAAATTTGAGTTCAATAGATGAGTAAATTTGAACAATCGCCACAATTCACTCAACGGTAGACCCCACATAATAGAGCCCAACGTTGAGTTTTTTAAACTTAATTTTGAGTATTTTTAACGTAGGATTACGACTTTTAGCAACATATTGGGGGTGCAATTTCAAAAAAACCAAAATCGACCGCGTTACTTAAAGTGGTCAGGTGTTGACCACTTCTCGGATGGATTAAAATTCTAAGCAAACAAACCAATCGATAGGAAATTTTTCTACGAATCTGTTAAAATTAAGACTATCAGTTTTCGAAAGGCCACTATTGACAAGTGTACGAATATGTAACTGTTGCTATGATAGTTAAAATTATCACCGATTGTCAACGAAAAGCACTTTCCCTAACACAGATTTCAAAATCGAATTCTGTTGCTACGATAGTTAAAATTATCACCGATTGTCTACGAAAAGCACTTTCCCTAATACCCCGTTCACATTACACCGTATATCACGTGATATATGCTGTCTTGCAATAAGCACTCATATATCTAGTTTTCACTGGAAATCCTATGTATGAGTGCTCATTGCAAGACAGCCTATATTACGTGATATAGGCTGTAATGTGAACGGGGTATAACACAGATTTCAAAATCGAATTCTGTTGCTATGATAGTTAAAATTATCACCGATTGTCTACGAAAAGCACTTTCCCTAACACAGATTTCAAAATCGAATTCCATCCGGTCTCGCCGAACGGTGTTTATTCAATCACAGCGTGTGATGAGTGATGGTGTCCAGTCATCATCAACAGCAGCAGCAGCAGTGCTTTTGGCGCGTGGCATTGTGCATTGTTCTCCAGTACTATTAAGGCTGCCCTCAAGAGTCCTCGATTCACCGAAGAAGGAGGAAGAAGCCGCACCACTACTGATAGGATTCAGTTGCTCGTCGTGTGCCGCTGTGGGCCATCAATGCCAAGCGCGTCACCCTCGTTCCAAACAACATACAGCTCGCCAGCCTCATCCGTGTTGAATACCCTAATAGCTCAGCATTACTCAACTATCACGACAAACGGTTCTTTACAGGACCACCATAAATTATTGTTGGTTAAGAGTTAATTTTCGTTGAACGTTCGCTTGCCTTGCTACCAGCCACATCACCCCCAAAACTCTTTGATAATGTACCCAGCAACCAAACGCAATGACCGAATTTTACATGACCTTGTCAATTAACCAGAAACACTTCAATTTTCGCTTTTTTTTATTATCTATTGAACAAACCAATAATTCCGTGCGTTTTGTGCACGAAAATGCGTAATTTTGTCATCAGAAAACGAAACGTTTCCGTGATGGGAAAAAGTGGTTTCCCTAACACAGTCGCCGAACATTGATACCAAGCACATAATCCCACGTCAAATCTACGGTCGTGTCTTGGATACAACCTCTTACTTTTTCTTCTCTCCTTTCTATACCCAATTTAAAAAAAGAAGGACATGGATAAAAAAGGTTGACAACCACTGTGGAGGAAGTTTGCTCCATCAGATGGTGAAGTTAGTTTGTGTCGGTGTGTTGTGATTACTGTGTGATTGTGATGATGCCTCCATAGGAGTAGAAGGGCTGGAAGGTTAATGAATTTACACATTTATGCAACTCCAGTAAATCACCAAAAGGGAATCACATTGGATGATAAGGACATGCAAATATTTACGGATCGCTCGTTTGCATACACTACTGTCTGAAGACGAATACCTTTTCAATCAAGAAATAAAACGCCCAGCTGCAAAATATAACCAAGCATGTAACAACCAAAAAGCGTTAAGGGGCCATACAATAATTACGTATGCATTTCTGAGGGGAGGGATTCTCAGAAATCTGCTATGCAATTATAAAGAAATCAAGTATAAAACAGTTAAACCTTCGATGCAAGATCTTACTTGACAGTTTTTGAAAAATTTAAACCACCCTCCCCTGCGAGACAATCGTCCATAATTTTTAGTTTTAATTTTGTTTGACTTCACTAAATCTAACATAGGGAGGAGGGAGGGTTAATAAAACCCAAAACAACGTAATTATTGCATGAGCCCTGACACCAATCGGTAATTCAGGAAAATCAAACTGTGGGGATTCACCGATCGCTTCGACGGCTTCAGCAAAACGCATTCAGTAATAAATCAAGTCCTTCTTTTCCATCTACAACCGGAGTCAGACGCCAAGACGACGACGAATACGAAAGCGAATACAACCGAAAGTGTGTTCCGAGATAACGGCGCAGCGACACGCCGCCTTTCAATGTTCAAATATAAAAACATGCTCATTCGAACATATCAGCGACAGTTAGCTGGAGGTAGTTGCAGAAAGCGTTTATTAGCGAAGAAAGTCAGCATGAATCTCTGGAGGAAAGTGAGTCCGCTTACCCTGCTGGTAGTAGCAACGGTACTCTTAATCGATTTCGGTGAAGCGAAAAAGTTCGACAAATGCTCGCTGGCAAAGGCTCTGCTGGCGCAAGGATTCAGCAAAGCCGATCTCCGCAATTGGGTGTGCTTGGTTCAGAACGAAAGCGCCATGGACACCACCAAGAAGAACAACAACCGCAACGGTTCCACCGATTGGGGACTGTTTCAGATCAACGATCGATACTGGTGCGATCCTCAGGATAAGAACAAAAAGGCCTACAACGAGTGCAAGGTGAAGTGTTCTGGTGAGTCTGAGTTTGGTGTGGTTTCATGAGGTGGATATATTGTAAAAAAAAATCCGATGAATTTCCAGAACTACTAACGGATGACATCACCAAAGCTGCGACGTGCGCCAAGAAGATCAACAAACGTCACGGTTACCGAGCCTGGTACGGATGGATCAATCACTGCGAGAATAAAGCGCTTCCGGATCTGAGCAAGTGTAGTTTGTGAATGTGGTGTTTTTTTTATAAGATCCAAAAACGTTAATAAAATATGTACAGTGAATTCCAAGATGTATTAAAAAATAGTAACCTAGGTTTTGCAGAAAACGAAATTCATCTAACTTTTTGTTTTAGAAACTGTACACAGAAGAGAGTAATAAATGTCGATACATTCTTGAGTTCATTAGCATTATAATTAAAACGGAAAAATGGTAAAAGGCGTACAACAATTTCAAAAGCAATCAAAACTTGGCCATCGACTTGCCTTGTCCTCTCTAGCTGAGAAAGCACAGTTCATGACTTGTGTGACATCGTATCTATTTGATATTCGTTACGTCGTACTCTGTAGCAGCCAGATCAGTGGCGTCTGAAATCCCTCTGGTTCCCCTTGAGAATCAATATAGCATTCTGAAGAATCTCCTCGCTACGTCCAGGATCCGCGTCGTGAAAAATGGCAATAAAAAAGCAGTGACTAAAATGATGACATGAAGCGTTCAAAAACAATACTACTTGGCGGGTGTGCAAAACTGTGATGCAAAAAATGGTTGTAGGTATTTCGAGATCTCGTGTGTCTACTACTTTCGCCTGATCCCCGATTGACCAGTCGTATGTGAATTTTCGCGACCGGTACAACTTTGTACCATTTTTTCCGTTCTAACGCGTTTGTTTGGAAATGTTTCTGCCTAGCATGACCGGCAATTTACCCGTGTAGTTATTAGATTAGACCTGAAATAATTCTTCAACACAACCCCCAGTGGTGTTCTATTGAATGTGGAGCAAGCTGATAAAATTGATCCAAATGAGCTGTATCGAGCAAAGGGAACACGAAGAGCAAGAAGATTGGAGCGACCCGGAAGACAGTGCAATGCCGCGAAGCAAAACCGTACTTCATCTGGCATATCCTCGCCCATACCGGGACGACAGTGAATCCGAATGCAGCGCTGAAGACGAAGGTAATACCAAACTATAAAACAAGCAGCAAATTACTCACCTCCCGTGCCTCCCACTCGGTGTCTCCAAATTTCGCCGACATGACCTCCGGATTGCCACCGCTGGGTGGATGCCTTCGAGGAGCACTTTGTGACATTATTTCCCTCCCTCCTCTCAAAAGAATGTCAATTCGTCTTCACAAGAGAAAAACTCGCGTCAATGCTACCTTCTTCCTATGAAAATATTCACTAACTTCACACCATTATCCACCCAAACGAACTACGAGGGACGAACAAGATTCTGGATTCTTTATCGATTTTTCGACAGATTATCATTCATGTTGCCTCTCTATGCCACAGCTTCCAGTTTCACTTATTCATTTTTTACAACCGGAAATACGCACTAAAGCAAATGTTCACCCCGGATCGCGGACGCGGAAAGAGTGATCGACGATAAACGATACGACTCCGGCAAATTGGAACCGATTAATTACCGTTTTCAACGACTTATAACCGCGGACGGAAAGTGTTTGGTGATCACTTGGTTCGAATCGTTCGGACGCGGACTGCCATTTTTGCGTAAATTGAATTTTGTTTTGTTGTGATGCTGTTGACGTTTAGCTTGATTCAAGCGTTTGCGGGTGCGCACGATTGATGCGTTTATGTATGAGTATACACGGTAACCAGCGTTAACACATTAATGAGTAAAAAATACAATTTTTATGTTTATTACACAGCAAAAAAAAATATGTAATATCAATCAATGTAATTCAAGCTGATGTATGAAATAATGATGTAATAGCAAAAAGCAGATACAATATTACATCAATGGATGTAATTTTGTTCGCAAAATCGATGTACATCGTACAACCACAGACAAACAGACATAACACATTGAATATTTCTCACTGTAAAACATCGTCGCTAAAACACTACCGCCATCTGTTGAGTACACTGTGGTGGGTAGTACGATGAACAGATGGCGGTAGTGTGAAAACGTCAAACGCAAGGGAATTGACTATGCGCGCCACAGGTGGCGGTACTACCAACTAAGATACTTTTAAATTGACCGATAAATGCTTGTTTGATGAACATCTTGCGAGTGTTATGTCTGTTTGTCTGTGGTACAACGTTATATTACACAACCGACGGATTGACCTGGTTGCAGCAGTTTGGATGTAATATTCAACAACTTTTTTTTCTGTGTAGATACTTTTACGCCTGCACAGCAAAAAAAAAATGTAATAATCGATCAATGTAATTCAAGCTGATGTATGAAATAATGATGTAATAGCAAAAATCAGATACAATATTACCATAGAGGTAACTCTAAGACCAGAAGGTCCCGAAGAAACGTGATCAACTTTTTGGCTCAGCTTTGGTACTCTCTTCGGTCCCAAGCTAATCGATTCACCCCTCGAAACATAGAAAAATCCACTTATCCCTCATTTTATCTGTCAAACTTTCATAGCGAATCAAAACAAACATAGTATAGTATTAGAATTTCGACTAGAATGGGGTACGTTAATCGTTTGCTTGGATAGTACCACACAGCAAAAAAAATGTAATATCGATCAACGTAATTCAAGCTGATGTATGAAATAATGATGTAATAGCAAAACGCAGATACAATATTACATCAATGGATGTAATTTTGTTCGCAAAATCGATGTACATCGTACAATGTGATATTACACAACCGATGGATTGACCTGGTTGCAGCAGTTTCGATGTAATATTCAACAACTTTTTTTGCTCTGCAGAGTTGAGCCAAAAAGTTGAGCTAGTTTCTTCGGGACCTTCTGGTCTTAGAGTTACCTCTATGGAACTACTGTGAAGGCCCAAACGCAATGTGGACGGAAGCGGAACGGAAACGGAAAGTTTGACAGTTGCCACAAATGACAACAAAATTCCTAACCGAAGTCGATTTGGTTCCAACAAGTTTTCAATTCGACAAGTTGGCTTTTTTTTGTTGTTGGGGGGAGTTGAACTGTTGGTTGAACCACTGCGTCCATTATTTGAACTTTTGTGGTACCCCTGTTTACTGTTCGTATCATGCAAGCTGACCACCATTTAATGAGTGGACAGCTAATTGCCTGGACACGTCCTTTCGCAGTCAGGTATGATATGGTTTATGAAACCAACTACCTTTCCAGGATTAGCAGACCAAATTCCACTAGGTTGTAAGATAACACTACGAAGAAATTTAGATCTACGCCTGTGCAATGCACCGCAACTGCAGAGCAGATGTTCCGAGGTTTCACGTTCTATGCTACAGAAACGGCAGATATCGCTCTGAACCCGACCAATGTTCTTCAAATGATATCTACTCGGACAGTGCCCAGTTACTAGGCCAGTGTATATACTAAGTGCCCGTTTATTGAGCTCCAAGAGCTTTTTGGTATGTGTTACATTTGGATTTATAAATCTTTTCGACTGGTTGCACTTCGTGACGGCCATCCAGTTGGCCATCACCCTTTGTTCTTCCCAGCGTTTGAGTTCCATTTTTACCGTACAGTTTGATATTCCACAGTATGGTTCGAGGCATGGTTCTGTTTGGCTTTTCCGCTGCCGTTGCCGTTCCGCTTCCGCTGTAATTGCGCTTGGGCCTTGAAGGTCTCCTCATAACTACTCTGAAACTCTCCACAGAAATACTCTGAACTGAACTACTCTGAAGCTCTCCTCAGAATTACTTTGAAATTCTCCTCAGAACTACTATGAAGTTCTCCTCAGAACTAAGTTCTCGTCATAACTACTCTGAAGTTCTCCTAAAAACTACTCTAGATCTTCGATGAAGATTTCCTCGAAGATTTCAACATTTTCCTGATATGTTCGAAGTTGTCCGAAAATTCTCTTGAAGATCTTTAAACTTTCCCACTAGTTCTTTTAACTTCTCAACAAAAAAATAGAGTCAACTGGACTTCCCTAAGATTCACGGAACTTTCCTTGAGCTTCCGCAGTTTTCCTCATATTCATAACTCTTCTCCGAAGTTCTTGATATTTCCCCACGGTTCCAGGTACTTTTTCAAAGTGCTCTCAATTTTTTGTTAAGTTAATGCAAATTCAGAGACGATCACTGAATTTCGAAGAATTTCAAAGCCCCTTGGATTTTTTAACAAGATTTCAGATTGATTAATTATCCAGAAGACATTCTGCTGATTTTTATTCACTATGTCAGTTGAATCAGAGATTATTCACGAAACGAAAATCAATTATTTTATTCATGTATTTCACTTATACATTTTTGCCAAAACCGAGGGGGTGACACATCTAAATCTCAATTCTAGATGCTTAAAAAATCTCACACTAGCGAATAAATCTTCGAAAAATCTTCTTTCATTTCTCACATCTACTTGCATCGTGCATCATCTTTTTGCAGGAAATCTTCAAAATCGTGACAAATCTTCTTTCTATCTACTCAGCGTACGCGCAGATAGCCACAGAAATACACAATATTTCCTGCATCGTAGATAGAGTCGTTCCCCTCGGCCAAAACATCAACCTTATACCACAGACAAACAGACATAACACTCGTAAGTTGTTAATCGAACAAGCATTTAACAGTCAATTTAAAAGTATCGTAGTTGGTAGCACCGCCACCTGTGGCGCGCATAGTCAATTGCCTTGCGTTTGACGTTTACACACTACCGCCATCTGTTCAGCGTACTACCCACCACAGTGTATTCAACAGATGGCGGTAATGTTTTAGCGACGATGTTTTACAGTGAGAAATATCCAATGTGTTATGTCTGTTTGTCTGTGCTTATACATTCCATAAGACAAACTACATAGGTCCTATAAGAATGCATAAAAGGTATGTGTGACCGCTTATACATTTCATTTGACACATGATCTTCATTAACTTTTAGCATGGCGTCTGCTTATTACACGAAACGAAAATCAATTATTTTATTCATGTGTTTCACTTATACATTTTTGCCAAAATATCAACCTTATACATTCCATAAGACAAACCACATAGGTCCTATAAGAATGCATAAAAGGTATATGTGACTGCTTATACATTTCATTTGACACATGATCTTCATTAACTTTTTGCAAGGCGTCTGCTTATTAGTTGACTTATACATTTTATTAATAATCAACAATAGAAATTTGCCAAAAGGTATAAGGAGATTTCTATCCGTGTTCAATTAACAAATTACTCAAAATTGCAATCAAAATAATCCCGTTTACGTGGTTTGTTTACGAGGAAGAGGAAAAATAACTAGATTGTGCGTGCATGCATTGTGGGTAGGAATGCGGCAACGCGGCAGCGGTACAGCGGTTAGCGCGATTTTAGTACATTGTGCGTTTACCGCTGTGCCGCTATGTCGCTACCTTAATAAAAATAACCATAAAAGATAACTTAACGACGTGTTCGATATATCATCCAAACCTTTTGTGGGATAGTTTACCCATCCGGGATACAGTTCGTTTATGGTATTAAATTTTGTTTATTAGGGTATAGACCTTTTGACGTTTAATAATCTTTCTCTATCTAGCACACATGGATGAATGAACGGTTTGTTTTCCTACTCATCTGTTTCCCTCTTGCTCGCACTCGATTTAAATGGTGCAGTAGTGTGCGCCGATTAAACGTCAAAAAGCTCTATGCCGCTGTCATTGTGTTCAGCCCATTAATTCAGTGCCAACATTTCAAAGGGGCGTAATTGCATTTGTAAACAATGACTTTCGTCTTCGATTTCTCGCGAATGAAAGCTCACTCATGAAAATGAATGACACCAGCAGGTAGATGAATGTTTCCTGTCCCAGCTAGCATTGGTAATTTGAAGGGGTGGGCTTTTATTTGCGAGAAATCGACGGCTATAGCCATTGTTTACAAAAGCAATTACGCCCCTTTGAAATGTTGGCACTGAATTAATAAAAGTTACCGTGTCTCGCAGCGAGTCAGCCGCCGTCCTATTGACAGCTTTCAAAAAGATGCGCCATCTTGCCAACACTTCACCTTTCGTTCCACCCCTGTGGGACAAGTTTTGTCGAAATCGAGCCGCCGTCCTTAGCTCGGCTTCGGATCCGTCGGCTCGTTCGAACTCCCTTTCAACTGACCGTCGGTTGTCGGTTTTCATTCATCAAGCGACTTTCAACAGGCACGTACGCGTCGCGTTTCGTCGTCGTTCGTTCGATTAGTAGTATATACTGCTAGTAAGTAGGTACTTGCTATATTACCTACTGCCTACTGCACAATAATAAGTAGGTATTTTTCTCTACATAATAAACCCCGTTGTCTTCGTCGTCGATCACCTCCAACTCGTCGCGTCGTCTCGTTCGATTGGAGTTAGCTTGCCGTCGTCGTCGTCGTTTTTGTTGCCGTGCGTGAAGAAAATACTATTGAAAAATTGAGATCATTAGTGGTGTTTTGGAAGTGAAATAAAAGTAGAAATTGTTTTCTGCCTGGTTGGAAATTTTCGTGTGCATGAAGAAGAGCAAAATAAGTTGTGATTGTAGTGACGACGGCAGCCGTGGTAGCCCCAGAGCAGCAGCAGCAGACCAACTTGAAAATGGTGCCGGGGACAAAGTGCTGAAGAGAAAA